TAGATGTACCCTCTCTCTGCCAGCTCGTGGGTGATGAGCGCAGAATTTAGTTAGACTTGTCCTTAAGTTTCTATTCAGATCATCAAGCTCTGTCGGCGTCCAATCGACGATGCCGAAGCTGTACGCCACTGCAGGGATGGCGTAGGAATTGATTGCAGTCGCCATGTTACGGCCTGCCAATCTTGTTTTTAAGATGTGCTTGACTCTCTCTTTAAATCTCTCGGTGAGCAGCGTCTTGACACTTTTAGAGTCTATTCTTCGCGCCTGAGCAAGACCTAGGTATTTATAGGTTTCAAATTTATCCAGCGTCGTTATTTTTCCACCACCACTATGTTGTGTAAGCTGATGGCCGTCCATCTGACGCCACTCTCCTTTATGAAGTCTGCCAACTTTACACTTCTCCAGATCGAACCTCATTCGAATATCATTTGAAAAGTTCTCGATGCATCTGAGCTGCCGCTTTAGTCCCTTCTCGGAGAATATCTTGAGGTCGTCCATGTACAAGTGTGAGAGCTTAAGTTCTTTATTAAATAGATATCCTTGTTTGAGATTATTGAGAGCGGAGGAGAGTGGATTTAACGCTATGCAGAACCAAAGGGCACTCAGAGCATCGCCCTGGAAAATACCTCGTTGGATTTTTATGCTGATCGGCTTTTCTTGCGCCCTCTGGTCTCTCGGAATTATTTGCGTCTCCCACTGGGGTCGACTTATAGACAGAGAGGCACTGTAGCAGCCAAGTATGCGGAACACTATTAAATGCTTTCTGATAATCAATATATGCAGTAAAGAGATTCTTGGAAGCTATTGCGTTGCGGGTGACAACGTTGTCAATTGCAAGTTGTTCCTTACACCCCTGTGCATGCCGCCTGCACCCCTTCTGCTCTTCAGCCAAAAGATTGTTATCATCCATGTGTTGGTATAGTTTGTTAGCTATTATTCCATTGATAATTTTGTATATCGTGGGTAGGCACGTTATGGGTCTGTATTTTGAGGGATCTTTAATTGGGTAATCTGTCTCTGGGAGAAGATAGGTCATCCCTTTCGTCAGAAAGGGTGGCGCAGACTGAAGGTTGTTCAGTATCAGGCTCAAGATGTCAGCAAGTTTGGACCTAACAGCGGTGAACTTCTTGTACCAAAAGTTCTGTATCCCATCCGGTCCGGGGGCTTTCCAGTTTTTAACTTTCGCCAGGACTTCATTTAGGTCCTCTACGACGATCACTTGAGGCAGCATGAGTTTTATTCTTTCGATCTTCTTTTGTTCGCACTTTATCCACTCAGCCGAAACTTTGTGATTGAGAGGGACCTGCCAGATGCCACTCCAAAATTCCCTGATACTTTCTGGTTTCGGGTATTGGCCCTTGTCGTCGGTGTTTGATGGCGCCAAGTTTCTGTAAAAAGCACCAGGGCTCCGGTTAAAGAGGTTATTATCGAATCTTCTATGCCATGATTGCTGGTATCTGCGCAGTCTATTTGCATATACCCACAGTTTCTGCTTTATCAGATCCAACATGTCGACCACAGTATGGTTTCCAGAGTCCTCGTATTTTTTTTTTGCATGTTATCAGTATGCTTTTTGACCCGTTTACTTGGTTTTCTGGGTTCAAGGGTCTCAGTGAGTATACCGATCTCTCTTCTCAAAGTCGCAATTTTGTCCTCCAGTCTTCTCTGCCATTGGGGGAGTTTAAGTGTTTTTTTTTGGTTTTCTGTCTATGGAGCAGGATAGTTGCCACAGCGGCGAAGTACACCAGATCATGAACAACAATGAGGTCATGACAGTTATTAATTTTTAAATACAGTACGTTGTTCATTGATTTAAGTATGTTCTTGGTGTCCCGATTTGTTCTTACTCTGGGTATCCTAGGTCTACTAAGCGGGTCCAGGCCAGCGTAACTTTCAAGACATTCCTGAAGGGTCTCATGTGCAGACTGGTCAGAAGGGTTGACAAGCTGAGCGGCATTCCCTGGGTTATCAACCAGTTGTTCGGTTGTAGCATCTGCTGCGACATCGACTGTCCACCCCAGCTCTAGAGCCACCTCTTTTCTCATAGTCTGAATCACTTCAGGTTTAAGCCGGTGTTTTACAAATAGTTGCCTTCTTTGGTCTAGGATGTTCTGGATGGTTTTTCCCTGTAGAGCGGGAAATCTTTGAAGCATTGCTCCATGTAGTCTGTGGCCGTATGGGTTCTTATTGGTCTCCATTTCGGTTATGCGTAGGTAGGTACGATAAAGGTAAGTATTCATGTCGTCTGACCATTTAAATCGTACCGTCCTAATATTGTCCCCGATCATGGGAAGACGCTGAGTGCCTTCAACATTTAGCGGGGTCTGAACTTGTTCTTCAAGGGAGTTGTTTCGGTCGTTCCTGTTGCTTGTGTTGGTGGATTCCGTTCGCAGGTCAGTGCCACCCGTTCCACTGGGGTCTGCGCCAGACTGGGGGTCTTCAGGACGCTTCCGAACAGAGGTAGTCTGGTCCTCTGCCACGCCCGAGTACCTGTTACGCCTTGTTCTGACAGCGATCGCGGTTCACGCGAGTTGAGCTGCTACCACAACTCGCGGTGTGCTGATTTTTGTCCACCTCGGGTATTTTATTTGCCCGATACTCTTCAGTCCAAAAACTGACGAGCGTACCCGATCGCCAGGGGCGGTCCCCGATAGCAGTTCAGCTTCAGCTTCAGCTTCATTATTATTATTGTTATTATTATTATTATTATTATTATTATTATAAATATTTTTTGATCCAGGAGTTAAATTAACGCTTTCTAGCCAGTTCTTCAAATGTTGTTGTTTCTACTGCCCAACTCATACAAAAAAAACGAAGAACTTCGTACATCCTGACTGTTGAGCTAGTAGAGGTCCCACGATTTTTAAGTCACCACAAATCATCGAACTACAGTCAAAAGCAAGAACATTTCCGTTGTGCAAAAGAACAGCTTTAAGACTTCTCACTGACGAGTCAATATTAGATTATGAATACCAGTGCGATAAACATGTGAACCACTTTATTCAAAATAACCTATAATATGTGCTTCCTAAAATATGACATTTTAACGTCTTGTGAAAGTCAATTTTTATTTTTATGTCAAAGGAAAGATCTAAATCTCTCACTAAGTCGTTCAGATTGTGAAAATAACTGTGGTTGCTTAAAAACACTTCACATATCACCAGCATCACTAAAGGTATCTTCATCTATTTCAAGTTCAGAAAGGCTGATGGAATCTTCTGAAACTGGTCTAATTGCACACTTGAGGTTCGGATAAACTATGTTTTGTAACTTTTTAGTATTATGTCCACGAGCATTGCGCATTCAGACTCTCTCTAAATATCATAGGTATTACAAACTTGCTTCGCATACCTTACATACAATATTTTCTAAAGAGGAGTCTAATTTTACAACTAAATTTCTTGACCACAAATGAATCACACAAATACCAAAACGTATCTGGAATACATAGTCTTACAATTTTTAAAATAAATGTAACTAGACAATGTGCTAACTAACTAACCTCTCGAAACGACTGCCTACAACAAAAGCAATTGCATGATGAATATGCTTTCTTCACGACGCGACGTGGTGATGTTTTGACTATTTGGGAACCCCAAAAACCATATTTTACTTTCTAGGATTTCCCGCTAATATTCTGTTAATGTATGCAAAATGTATGCCAGTGGCCTAGCAATTTCGATTTTTAGAATGTTTAGAATGAAAAATACCAAATCACAAAATCCTTGGCTTGTGTAGCTAGTCAATTGATTTTTTTCTGTACTTAAGATAAATGTTTTAAGTAACATTATATTCAAGAGACACCAGGCAAGCCCTTAGTTAGTACTTCCAGGTGGACAAGCCGATAATATAATTACTACTCGATAGAATATTGACCTATCAGAGAAGCAGTTACATGCTTTGGGATTTCTAACATTTCAAATTTGAACGCGGAATATAGTGTTGGTAATTTGAAGTGTTTGGTCTCTAAATATGGTGACATAAACTGCGTAGATATAATTGCAGCCGGAAGTACGGAAAACAAATCATTCAAAAATATAGTCGGTACGATTTGCGATGGCATAATCGGTCATAAAACCAAATGTATCAGTATTTTACCTAGTTCCACTCGTATACTAAGAATGGCATAACCCGATTTACCTGCCAGTGTTCTACCTTTGTCTATTACGCCCCGGTATCGTACACTCGATAGAGATAGCACCGGATAGTTACAGTAGTGTAAACTACATGCATTTTTAAAAAACTGCTGCTGAATCTCGAGAAGCCGTTTTTAGGTATTATGAATTAGTGAAAGTGTACCAAATTCATCGACAAGAAAAGAAAAAATAAAATGGGCTAAACTGTGAGTTGTTAAAAATTGTCCAAGATTACATAACCAACTTTCCGTATGCTACAGACGAAAAATTTGTTGAAATGGATCGTCAAGTTTTAAGATTGCCTCCTTACCGTTGCATATTTAATGCCATAGAATTGGTCTGGGTTAAGTACAAAGTATTTTGTAAGATATTGTAAGTGAGGTAAGGCATAATGTAGAAGTATCTGTGTAGTGTTTACCAAAGAAAATTGTTATAATTTTTGTTGCATGGACAGAGTTTTCCGACAATAATTTATTTAACAAATTATAATAATTTGTAGATTGACCTACTTAAATATACCCATAAGAAATACCCTGATCAATTATTACATAGAAAATGGTTACTTGGATTGGTAACTTGTTAACCAGAGGAAGATCGATTTCTGCTGACTGCGCGCTTGTTGGATGGTGGTTGTTAGAATGCGACACGGTTAAATAGCCGAATTGCTGCTGATTATTTGCATAACATGGTCTAATTAATCTAAATGCGATTATTACCAATTGAAATTTTAAATCCTATTTAAAATAATTTATAGTTGGAATAGAGCATCATGATTTCAATTATTCGAGGACTTCCGGATTTCCTGTTTGCCAGGCAATCAGTGTACGATCATTTAGTACCAAAAATTGCATTGTGAAATATTACCTAAAGGAAAGGCCGGACCGATTTGATAAACCACCAGGACGCTTTTAGTACCAGCTTTACCAAACAAACGATTGAGCAAATGAATTTGATCTTCGTCATCGATTACGCCCTCCATTATTTCCGATGGATCGACGCCCATGTATATCGAAACCATGTCGCAAACGTGCCTCTGTGGCAGTTGAAGTTCTTGGAATCTCCTGGCACGTAGTTCTCTAAATTTTAGCTGGACGTGGTCATAGAACGTGGTAGATTTTAAAAACGTGTATCGCGATCTGTTACCTGCTTTTCCTTCAGACTTTCCTGCATCGACAATAACGTCGAACTGGTTTTTGCTTTCGATTTCGTTCCGCTCGCCAAATGCCTGGATATTCCGACCATCATTTTTAATTCGTCATTAATCGAAGGTCGCGGACTATCCGGATTCTGATTATCGGACATTATTCCAAACCGAATATCGATTTGAAAAAAATTCGCTCAACTCGCTCAACTTTCAACTTGTGACAATTATCAGTCAATACGATTATGTTGATTTTCTTAAATCTATGGTAACGTGAATGAATTAGGTGCAACTTTTTTCCTGAAATTTTTACAAGAGATAATGTCATAATTATAAGTTGAATAGGTTCCCTAAATATGAACTTCTATAAGGACTTTTTTAAATAACTTTTAAAAAAACTTAGTTTTTTATTCCGATTAATCAAGTACACATCCCACAATGTGTAAGTAACTGATTTTCCTATAAAATAGTTAACGAAATGAATCAAAACTAGTATTTCAAAAAATATTAAAAATTATGTATAAAAATTTTGAAACAGTCCATCACAATATAAACATTTTCTTGGGCTGTAGGCTTCTAGGCTTCATCTGAGCTATCCTTGACTAAAGAATTACTAGAATCCTCAGAACTTGATCATTCTCCTGACATGTTGGTCTTTTTTTATGTCTTTTCTGCCAAGTAGTTATTTTTTTCTCTATAGGTGACTTTATTAGTTTGTATGGGGAAGATGTCAATAGAACAGCCTTGCCAGCTTTTATTCCCCTGTTGCTTTTTGTTCTATTTTAACGCGGCATTGCACTAATAGTTTCTAGTGTTATAAAAGCGGGAGTAGTTGAAGGACCTGAGAATACATTTGGAATGAACGATTGACCTTCCTGATTTGTCTGATTTTCAGTTGGTACTACTGTTGCATGTCCGTTACATTGTGTAGAATGATCGTTATCTGGCTTATCGTTTAGAGTTGTTTCAACAAAATCATGATCATTAAAAACATGTGGATTAAGCGGATAAATTCTTGTTGTTTAAAAGTCAATTCTACACACTAACTTCGAAAAAATAGACAACCAAAAATGTTTGCTAGGTGCTAATGAATGAGAGCTCTGCTATTAATTCGCATCCATAAACGGATTCTTTCAGCCATATATTTTTATAAACGTTTTGTCCAAAGGACGGATTTTATGGCTAGCATGTGTCGGTATTAACAATAACCGAATATTATTTTTTCGTGCCAAATCAATTGCTTCGATATTACAGGTGTAATTTGTGTGCCCGTCTAATATCAAAAAGGAGAAGCAGCAGAAAGTTTGACAATTTTCTTAAAAAGTATTTAAACCATTTAGTAAAAAAACTCTGTCTGTATCTAACCTGACGGATGGCAAACGTGTATTGATCCAGCTGGAGCACCATTCATTAGCAGAAGTGACTGCACCTATTTGCACCTATCCCGATGACATCAACGTTGGAAATATTCGTCCATTTCTTTCTCTAAAAATTAAAGAAAATCGTCACGCTTTCCTGTGTTAGAACGAGTTCAGTATTTGGAAATCGCGGTTTAGAAAGAAAATGGTACAAAGTGCAAGTTAGTAGATAAAATGTAAATAATACAGTAGCCCTGATAGAGGTGGGAATGATTTTCCGCGAATGCGCTATTTTCCTTCGAAATTGATATCTGTGGACTTAATTTAGGTTTCACTTAAAAGTAAAGTTTATCTAGTCGCATGAGTTACATTTTACAATAGACTAAAAACAAAAAGTATTCTAGGTTAAGATCCTTGTAGCATTATCTCTCATAATTGGGTAACAATTCTAGACCATTCAAATATTTTAATGAATTTAAATTTGGAAAACCTTCCTTTATTATCATTATCCAAGATTTGTGTTATTTGCTTTGCAGATTGAATGTTTGTGGATATTTTTCGTTAATAAAAATAAACTAATCTTAGGATTAATTTTAACAGGTATTATGTTAAAAATGTATTCGAATTTTAACAGAAGATACAGAGGAAAATTTATTTTAAAAAACAATTTAATTTTAACGAGATTCTCAAATAAACACAAATAAAGTATAAAAAAAGGAAAAAAAAATTGTTTACATAGGAATATCACGACATAGTTATTAAAATACACTTTATTATAAGCAACCCATTACTTTTAGTTAGTAGGTACTCTATAAATTAATTCGTTCTAAATGAGCGTCTTTCAGTTTTTTCATTTAAAGCTCAGTCACAAGTTCACTATCAGTATCACTTTCTAATTTCTTTACGATTTCTTTTCGCTATATCTACTAATTCTAGTTTTGTTAATGTTGCCTGAAATACAATTTTGTTTTTAATCAACCAGTCGCTGATCTGTTTTTTAGAAGAATTTGTGCAGGAATCCTTTTCTGATAAAATGCTCTGATATGGAGCATTACCCATATGATTTCAAGTTGCAAAGTAAGTTGTCTTCTAACCACCTAATAAATATCTCACTAATCATATCGCCATTGTAATCTGCAGATATTGACCTGGAACAAAACACCAAACTTGTTGCATCAACAAATTGCTTTTCACTTCCTGCATGGACGACAATAAATCGCTTTCCTTGAAAGCCCAGTGGTTTTCTAACATTTTTACTAAATTATTTTGTCAAAACTTTTTTGCGTTACTTTTGCTTTAATTCGAAGTATTAAAACAATGGTTTGCTTCACAGGATATCTTCGGAAATCATATTTTTTGAATTTAAAACCTATGCTGGGCAACACCCTTCTATTTAAAGTTTCTATTGCGATCTGTGTAAAATGAAACAATAAAATAAAGTGATTACTTTGACTATACATTTGATACACCGTATCGCGTATATTATATTTAACCACATCAGTTAACCCAGTCGTCTTGGTATTTTTTCTTTGACTTTATTACATTATCATTGGATTTTATACGTTTTTTATTCTTCCAGCAATGGATAGCCTAATATTTAGTGCCTGAATCACCAGCTGAAAAATTAGAAGGAATTACTAATCAAACCTTGGATAGCGGACTATGGTAATAAGCGTCTTATCCTTCTCTTATTGAAAATAATTTAGCAAACTAAATCCTGCGGTTGAGAGGTAAGCGCTTTCATAGCAAAAACTTTTTTAACTAAAAATTGAAAATAATGGTCAGCTGAAAACCAGGCTTTTACATGCATATCTTTTAAGGCGCAAAATAAAGGTTCACGTGGTAAATATTCAAACCCTTATGAATATTTCCATTGTTCCAAACCTGTTATAAATTTCACAATACTAAGGAATACGTTAAAATTAAATTGGTGTCAAAAATGTCGCAGAAAGATAATTATGGGTCACTAAAAGTTAATATTTTGACAATAAAAGAGCATTCTAAGGTATTTTTGGGGCTTGTTTTGACGATATTTATGTTTTAATACATTTTTCAGATCTTAAACTTTTTTTAAGGATTTACTGAAATATGCTTGAAATGAGTTTAAATATTTGAGAAGCAAAGTACTGTTGCGGACATTTACTTTTTACGCACCTATCTTAATTATTATGCTTACAAAAAATTTTTGTTTAAAAAAAACAGAAATGATAAATAGCAAACAATTTATATAGTAAGATGAATTAAAAACCGAAGCACCAAACTATACACACAAGCTCGTGACGCTTTCCTGTTGTACGATGAAAGGATAAGTTAGGATGATGAGCCAGAAACAGCTTCAACCATGTTTCGCCTGCAGAATAACTTCTTCGAACGGCTTGCTTGTTGCTTACTACCACTTGATAAGCAATTAACTTAATGTCGCGTCTGCTCAAACCAAACCCATAGTAAGTAAGATATAATTTACCAACTCTGCTTCTAAATTTTCTGATAAAACGGCTCTGCATCCAAGCTTTATATTTGTATGTCGTCCTAGAGATAAATCTCTGTTTTTAGGTAATCGAATCAATGTCATTTTTGAAATGCCAAAAGATCTGGCAGCGTTTAAATACCCCTTCTATTTTCAATAACGGCAAAAATAGTATTTTTCATTGCTTCCCTATCCCAAGTTTGCCTGGAGGAAGATTTTTGCTTTTACGTTGAAGCCATATTCCAAAATAAAAAGCACGGCTTTTAATGTAGACCACTGGTCCATATTGGAAACTAATAAGTGGTTCATATTATAATAACAAGAAGTTTTATGGTTAAGCCGTTAAAAAAAGGTAATAATTTGTTTAAATATTTAAAGCTCTAACCCATATAACTGCTAGAGGTATACACAAGACAATTGCCAATTTGCAATGTCCCTGGCAGTTTGGCAGATTATATTTTCTGAAAGCTAGAAACTGTAAAGTTTGTGGTTTTTCGTTAGCTTGTGTTTATATTTTGGTGCTCCGGTTTTTAATTCATCTTGTCATATAAATTGTTTGCTATTTATCATTTCTGTTTTTTTTAAACAAAAATTTTTTGTAAGCATAATAATTAAGATAGGTGCGTAAAAAGTAAATGTCCGCAACAGTACTTTGCTTCTCAAATATTTAAAGTCATTTTAAGCATATTTCTGTAAATCCTTAAAAAAAGTTTAAGATCTGAAAAATGTATTAAAACATAAATATCGCCAAAACAAGCCCCAAAAATACCTTAGGAAACTCTTTTATTGCCAAAATATTAACTTTTATGCCGCACAACTGTCTTTCTGCGACGTTTTTTGACACCAATTTAATTTTGACGTATTCTTTAGTATTGTGAAATTTATAACATAATTATATAAATTATATTGCACCTTAAAATATATGCATGTAAAAGCCTGGTTTTCAACTGGCCATTATTTTTAATTTTTAGTTAAAAAAGTTTTTACTATGAAAGCGCTTACCTCTCAATCGCAGGCATTAGTTTGCTAAATTATTTTCAATAAGAAAAGAATAAGACGCTTATTACCACCCTCTGCTATCCAAGATTTGATTAGTAATTCCTTCTAATTTTTCAGCTGGTGATTCAGGCACTAAATATTAGTCTATCCACTGCTGGAAGAATAAAAAATCGTTTAAAATCTAATGATAATGTAATAAAGTCGCCGAAAAAATACCAAGACTTAACTGATGTGGTTAATTATAATATACGCGATACGGTGTATTAAATGTATAGTCAAAATAATAACTTAATTTCATTGTTTCTTTTTAAACATGTCGCAATTGAAACTTTAAGTAGAAAGGTATTGCCCAACATAGGTGTTACATTCAAAAAATATGATTTCTGAAGATATCTTGTAGAGCAAACCAATGTTTCAATACTTCGAACTAAATTTTTAAGAAATTACGAGTCAACTTTTCTTCTTGTGAGGTTATTTTCATGGACAAAACGGGGATATTTTCCAAAGGTAATGCAAAAAAGTCTCGGCAAAATAATTTAATAAAAATGTTAGAAAACCACTGCGCCTTCAAGAGCAGTGATTTATTGTCGTCCATCCAGGGAGTGAAAAGGAATTTGTTGATGCAACAAGCTAGGTGTTTTGTTCCAGGTCAGTATCTGCAGATTACAATGGCGATATAATTAAGATATTTATTAGGTGGTTAGAAGACAACTTACTTTGCAAATTGAAATCGTATGGGTAGTGCTCCATATGGTGTTACGATTTTCTTTTTGTTTTTGTTCGTATGCCATTTCTCTTTTCATTTTTACCCTTGGGGGAGGTAGGTTATAGATCGATGGAGCTTATTAAACTGTAACAACCGCTACGCTCGGTCAAATTCCATGTTATAAAGTGCATCATTTTGATAGGTTCCGGCCCAATCTAAAATGAATCTTTAAATGCTACAAGCCTTGAGCAGATAATAACAATTTTTATCGTGGTACCTGAAGGCTGCTTGGTTTGTTAAAATATAGGATATGATATCTTGCCTTGTATGTGTGTAGCATAAATAATTTTTGTAGCGCTGCTAATACCTGAAATGGCTCGAATTACGACCAACTAGTAACGGACGGTGGGCGCGCCGAGGGTTGTAAACTCTCCCCGTTTCTAAAACTCCGTTTAAAAGCCGCATTTCCTTCGTTTCGGTGCTCGTTTGGAAATTTATTGTTTTGAAGTAAACGAAAACAGCTGATGCATAGTACTGCGTACCCTATGCGCGGAACGTTATATTTCCCTGGCGAAATTAAAGCATTGACCAGCGAATTGCTAGCTGTTGTCTGTGGCATAGCGTTGTAATGGTGATAGCGGCGATCGTTCTCTGGTCCCTTTTCTTTTTTTTTGCGGTTTTGGTGTTCTTTTTCCCGCCGGTAAGCAGCGTGCTTCCTGTAAGTTTTCCCTTGTCCAGGCTTTTTTTGTAAGGAGTCGCTTAAAGCTCACGCATATTGCGGATTTAGAGGGATACTGATAACCCTGATCTCCGGAATAAGTGGGTAAACAGACGTGGTCGTTTGTACCCCCGACTTGGTCGGATTTAGCGGAGAGAGGTTTTCAAGGATAACGCTCAACCTATAAGGCCACCTTACATCGACGGCCTTCTTCTTTTTTTCTTTTTTAATTTGACTTCCCGTATACTATTTGCACTTCTCGTTGGATCACGTCAAGGATTGTTTTAACCACTTCACTCCTGGGGCTTCCTACTCACTATCATCGGATTACGTCCACGCCCGGTCGCGGCCACAGATCGCACCAACTGGAGCTTGAGCCTGGTGGAACAAATTGTATATGGTTGCAGCAGACAAATAGTTGTAGAGAGAGTAAAGCCACTTCACCCCGATCAGACGGTTCACAGATAAGTACCTACGCGCCCAATGCCCCTTTACTACGTCTTCAGGTCTAACTGTATCAAATTTCTTTTTTTAATCAATAAAGCACAAAGACGCTGGCCTATTATGTTTGATCGCTTTCTCTTTTAATTGTCTCATCTCATCTGTATATGATCACCCATGTCCAAATCCCTGTCATTCGTCGGCTAAGTTTATTTATATAATTGATAGTTTTACCGGTTATGATTTTTCTTGTTAATTTCAGCGTGGTATTAAGCAATAAAATATCTTTATAACTTAAATGAATACAGGTTTGTAAAAAATAAGGTCAGTTGTTGCGTATAAATATACGGCATCAGATGGATCCTACCAAATATTTGTTTGTAGAAAACCGTATATATTATTCCTATTAACAAAAAATGTGATGGACTTCTCTAAAGTATGTAATTGTATACATTCATTTGAAAAACAATCTTAAACTGTTGCTTTTTCAATAAATTTCTGGTATTTTATGAAAAATATAACAAAACATGATACAATTTTATCATAAAGAAAGTAAAGTAATCATTGTAATGTATTTCCATTAATACTTTAACGTTCAATTCAATTCAGCTCAGCTATAAACCTAATTACAGATTTTAAGCAAACATCATTATGAATTAATAAAAAAAAAAACAATTTCAAAAGAATCAACACTTTGTAAATTTCATTCTCTTGAATGCAATCTCGAAACATTTAGAACATTTCACATTTCGTCGAAACTCTGGCGCATGCACCATATTTCTTTATTGCCATGTAACCCAAATAATAATTACCATTATTGGAATTTCTATTAAAATATGTTAGTTGGTTGAAAGTTTTTGTTATTGCTGTCACTAGGTAACTTATAAAACTAATTTGTAAAAATGCACTAAACTATGTAGCAAATTGTGTAGCAACCTTTAAGTTAAAAAACGAGGAATGACGCTCCAACACATGATAAATATGTGTCAAGTGTGGCAGACGCATGTTTTGGTTGCATATTGTTGATTTTAGTTATGCTGCTTCCGAGTTGAATGTGGTATGTTTTAACAATTTTAATTAGCAGATAACCTCAAAATGGATAAAACTTTGGTAATACAAATATGGCTATTACTTGTGACAGTGATATGTGTGAACTTTTCTCATACTGCCACTTTGAACTTAAAAAAGTATGAGAGGTTTATCGGCGAGCAGGGCTTGTACTCCCAAATAGACGACGTGGAAATCCTCACAGTTGAAAATTTTAAAAATGCTATTTTCAATAGCGATAAGGCATGGCTCGTTGAGTTTTACAACAGCTGGTGTGGTTTTTGTCGGCGATTCGCGCCCTCATGGAAAGATTTCGCTACCAACATCCGCGGATGGCGAGATTTGGTGGTGGTGGCCGCAATAGATTGCAATAACGACGAAAACCACCCTCTCTGTCGAGAATACGAAATAATGGGTTATCCCACCCTGCGCTATTATCCCGAAAAATTCAACGAGGAAAAAAATTTCGGTGCCAATATGCCGCGGGGGATTACTGCTGACGACCATAGACACGACTTGCTTGACAAAATGATCCAAGAGCAACAAAATGGCAGAGGTAAACAATTTCCAAATCTACTTCCTTATGGTTCCACAGATGTTTTGAATGTCTTCCAAGATACTTCAGATGATGTTCAGTTTGCCTTGCTGATTGTTCAAGAACCGCAGACTTATGATGGGCCTGAAGTAGCCTTGGATATGCATAGAACTTCAAGCATCGTAGTCCGATACGCATTTAGTAATAATTCAGATTTAGTTGCAATGCTTAGGGTTGGGATTTTTCCGTCTGCATACATCATAGCTAGAGATGGCAATTACAATATTGAAAATATTACTCCGGAAGCGCCCAATCGGATTGGAATTAAAGAATCTACCATTAAATATCTCAAAGATAAGCATGTATCTCTGGGACTAGAATTACCAGACAAGAACATTGAGGATAGTTCTCAGCAAGAGAGACATACTGAATATGATTCTCTAACAGAAAAAGTCAAAAAGATGGGAGATGTTGTTTTCCAAGTGGATTTGGAGACAGCAGTGAGATACTCATTGAAACGAGAAGTGGGTGGTGTTAAAGAAATTACAGGGGACAGACTTGAAGCCTTAAACAGGTACTTGGATATACTTGCAAAATATTTTCCATTTGGGAAAAACGGAAAAATTTTTTTGAATAATTTACGTAACTACGCCCAAAGCTCTGGAAGAGTGCAAGGGAGGGAATTCTTCGATATGGTTAAAAAAGCAGAAAATGATGAAACTGTGTTTTCTTCGGGTGCAAATTGGTTAGGTTGTCATGGTAGTAGCAAACAGTATAGAGGATACCCGTGCGGCCTATGGAAGCTGTTTCATTATTTGACAGTTAACGCAGCTTTGGATTTGGATTCTAGAGGGGATAACCCCAGAATTATTCTTGAGGGAATGCATGGCTACATCAAAAACTTTTTCGGATGTGCCGATTGTAGCCAGCATTTTCAAGAGATGGCCTCGCGCAGGGAATTAAATAAAGTGAGCTCTTTTAACGATTCAATCCTATGGCTTTGGAATGCACATAATGAAGTAAACAAGCGACTGTCCGGGGACCTGACTGAAGATCCGGAGTTTCCAAAAATTCAATTCCCATCAAAAGACAACTGTCCCAAGTGTCACAATGTTGAGGAAACCTGGAGCATCCCTGAAGTGCTCATTTACTTAAAGCACACATACAATAACATAAATATAAACTACATGGGCGCAGATATGAAAATCATTCATTTAGATTTCGAAGGTCAGCGTTCTCATGCGTCAGATGGCATTTTCAAGACAGTCGATACAAGTATGTGTATCCTTCTTTTTGTAAGTTCATTTCTGTTGATATTGTTTCTGATCAGTGTGTTTTTAAAGCCGAGGTACCGAAGAAAGATGTACAGGTACAAGCACGACCTACTAGGGAAAGTATAATGCCGGCAGAATTGACAATCTCGTCTGGAGCAACGAAACTGCCAGTAAAAGATAAGGCATCACATTTATTCGCTCTGTTGTGTTTATTAATCACATCGCTTGGACACATCGCTTCTGATTCAAGTTACTTTTGGTAGAGATACAGCATGACAATTTCAGTTGATACAAGTGTTTGTCACTAATCAGCATTTAAGTTCAGGATTTCTTTTACCTTCCACCGTAACACTGACTAACACATTAATTTGTTTTTTAACCGCACGTAAATTAAAATAATAATAGGCTGTGGCTTCAGAGACTTACTTGTTGTTCAAGGTTGTGTAAAGCATGAATATCTGGTTTCTGAATAACCGGAATATCCTTTCCATTAATTAAATGACATCTATATTAAATGACGGGTGGCTACAAAGGATTTAAGAGATACGGTGTGAAAAGTTCAGTTCAGTTAACTTTTTATCGATTAGTTTTGTATTAACCTGCGTTGTTTCAAAAATATTTGAAAGGAAATAACCATTTTGCAGTACTGTTTTATTGTTATATTTGTCGTGATACGAGTTAATTCTAGCAGCCATTGCTGAGATATCTTCACGTAATAGATTTCTTACCCAAACATACATCACCATAAAACCAAAACCAATGTGAAGTTTCAAATTTATTTAACAAAATTATCACCATCAAAACATTAAAATAATTTGCAAATCACTGTCAAAATTATCACACCAGTAATTTTTGTTTCCATAAAAATATCTGGTCGTTTCGACTCAGATTCATCCGTTGTCATGGTGATCTGTCACCGCTTTTTTGGTTAAAAACGGCAGGTGCGGAATTTTCACAGAAATGATGTATGGAAAAGTTGAGCCAAACTGAACTTTTGACACTCATATCATATCAATTCGGACTGGGTCCTTATGTTTTGCTCCCAGGAATTTATGGTATAATTTTTTCGCGCAGCTTTTAGACACACTCGGTACTGTGATCTTGTCTTTTATAGGTATATTTTTGTTAATGTTACTAAATACAATGGTAAAAGACCTTCCAAAATATTTTTTCCAGGTTGTTTAAATAAATGTCGGTTCGCACATAAACTATACTTTAGATTGTTACAATATTAAAATGTCTGTTTACATTTTCACACACAACTTGCTTGGGCGTTTATGGTTTCAGGAACCTATTTAAAAAATATATTCTAATAATTGGCCTTTTTACAAAAAATCTTTCAGGGAATAATGCGATCGGCGAGATTTTAATCAAGACTTTTTTTTGGATTGGGTTTTCTAAGAAAATATGTTGCGTGTAGTTCGGTGATATTACTCTGTATAAATTGGAAATTATTTTGTGTAATTATGATGTAATTATTGTTAATATTTATACATTTTATTAAAATGACTTTTAGAAAAATGAATTATTCTTTTTAATTCCTTTATCGTCAAAAATTACGTCAACAAATCCGTATCACTTCGGAGCACTTATGATAGCGACACATCGCCATAACTTCAAGAGTAGTTATGAAGATAAAACAAATATAAATCAAAAATCATTTATGTAAGCTAGAGCAAAGATTGTTACGAAATGATAAAGAGTTTGCGGTATTTGAACAGCTAAAGCAATGTGCCGCAAATTGTTTATTATTTTAAAGATTTGATATATACCAACAGGCTCAAACGGTAGGTCCCACGGTTCGTTCTCGAGGTACAGAATACAATTTTTTTTGCAAAAAATATGTTTTGGTCTTTTGGAAAGCTGTTTTAACGTCACCGTTTATGTATGTTTACCATTCTTTTATAGATTAAGAAATTCAGAATTCGATTTTTTGAGCTTTTTTCGTATTTGACTTTCTACAAATTCACAAGAGCTTCTCAAAATGAAATGCTCGGAGATAAATTTTTAGCGTTAACTAAAACACTTCGTATAAAAAACTTTCTATTAAAAAGTTTTCTTATAAACCAACTCGACTCACGTGTTATCGCCAATAAGCATGTAAACTTAAAATTGTAACCTTTCCATCTTGGGAGACTACACAGACACAATTTGATTCTATACAATTTTTCAATTACTTCATCACTTTCAATAGTTTTATTACCAAAATCTGGTTTTCTGAATTCGGGAAGGTGGGTAACTGATGAAGTTGGGGCATAGACCATCCTAAATTTTTCGTAAAGACATAATTTGATTTTTTTTTTAGATTTTCAATGTCAGACATTTTTTATTAATTTTCAATATTTTGTTTAATAAAATTGAGTTTCCTAAATTCGGAAAAGTGATTGTTCAAGTTAGCACGAAGAGTAACCTAAACTTTTCCCCCTGGGTTACCACATAGAAATTCTATTTGATTCTTCTTTGTTTTGAATGGTTTAAAGATTTTCATCTAATTTTCGTTCTAAAATGTGGCTTTCTGAATTCGGGAAGGTGATTGTTGAAGTTAGGACATGAGCATCCTATAGTTTTTACCTTACCACCTATGTAGAGATATTGTAAGATTTCTTTTTTAGATTTTTAATGATTTGGATATTTTCAATTAATATTCAATATTTTGTTTACCAAAATTAGCAGTCTAAACTTTTCTCCTTAGTTATTACGTTTTTGAATGGTTTAGATATTGTCATTTAATTTTCAATATTTTTTACCAAAATGTGGCTTTCTGAATTCAGGATCGGATTACTATGTAGAGACACTATTGCAATTTTTTTTAGGTTTTCAATGACTTTGGCATTTTCAATTAATTTTGAACATTTTTTTACCAAAATAAGACTTTCTAAAGAGAAGATGATTGATGAAGCTGGGACATACAGCATCCTAAACTTTTCAGCCTGAGTTACTGTGTAGACACTATTTCAATTTTTTTTTAGGGTTTGAATGGCTTAAAGGATTTTCTATTTATTTTAAATATTTTTTTACCAAAATTTGGTTTTCTGAAGGAAGGAAAGTATAAAAATGAAATGTACCAAGAAAACGGAGTTAGATAATAGATTTATTTATTAAAAAAATATATAGACACATACATAATTCCATATGAAAAGGCTTTCAACAGACTAGACTTGGATAAAAAGAAATACTATTCTTAAAAGGAGAGATTCTTTATGACAATTCAATGGTATTTTTTTGGCTAGTAATGTTAAAACTAAAATTATGAAATACCATAATTCCTACATTGCAGAATATGGGCAGCCATGCTATAACCTGAAGGGTAAATTATAAATTCAAATACAGGTCACACTTATAGCTCCTTAAGCAAAATACAAATATTTATAATAATGTATGCCGCTGAAATGTGAACAAGGATAATAAGATACCATCAAAAACACTCACACAAATTTGGTACACTTGCACGAAATACATTATATCTAAGTGGCGTCTCCGTCAACTAAGCGGCGTGGACAGACTAAAACCGGATGAAATTAAAACTCAAAATTGTTGTTAGAATAAACTTTACCTTAGAAATATCAACGCCCGTCAAATTTTTCACGAGCAACGGCACTCGTGTAACAATATCCAACACTTCGCCGGTCAATTTTGCAGCTCCCACTTCTCCATTACCCGTCGAAACCATTGTTATCTTCTTGGCCTGCGACAACGGGGCTGCCACCTCTGCAGTGACCTGAAATAATCGCTAAACACTCGGTCGCATCATAAATCTAGGCTTACCTTGGGTAAAACCTCCAAAAACATATCAATCATTGCGGCATCTTTATATTCTTTCCAAGCCTCGGCCTTTTTAGCCATTTGCTCGGCTTCAGCCTTCGCTTTAGCTTCAATGGCGTAGGCTTCGGCCTCTCCTTTCAGTCTCAAAGCTTCCGCTTCCGCTTCGGCTTCGAGGAGGGTTCTCTTACGGTTGGCTTCAGCTATTTTCTCCAATCGATACTTCTCGGCTTCAGCGGGACGCCGAACGGTGGCTTCGAGCTCCCTTTCGCGGCGAGCTATCTCCTGCTCTTGTACGGCTATCTGTTGGGTCCGTTCGACAACCTGAATTTGCATCTCTTCTTCCTTTATCTTCTGCTTGGTTTTAGCTGCCTGCAGCTCGTACGCCATCTCGGCTTCGGCATTTTTCGTTTGTACTTCCATATCGTACGCGGCTTTCTTCAACTCGAAATCTCTCCTGGCCTTGGCAATTTCGGTATCGTTCAAAAACACTGAAGCCATTCGCTGTTCCTCAGCTATTGCTTCTTTTATTTGGGCTTCAGCGCGGGCTTCTGCCTCTCCAATGCGCGCATCACGTTTCACTTCGGCCGTGCGAGCCATTCCTAGGCTACGTAAATAGCCCTAGTAAAAAATATAGTGAACAGTTGCCTTGTTATATCATATTATGTCTTTCGTGAGGGGCTAACCACTATGGCTAGCTACCATAATTTCACAGCCACCAAGATTCACAAATTAAACTTTTGTGGAGGAAATGGGAGTAAGGAAAGAGCTACCGCTATTAGTACGGATATTAAGGGTATTAGTACTGGTCGTCCTATATTTAAACTTATTAATTCCATTAAAACCGACCTAGAACGTTACGGCGTTATGGCACAGTGTTCAAGGTTTTTCGCAGCTACTTGCAGGACAAAACACAGCAGGTTAGAATAGAGAATATCTTGAGTGACTGTCAACAATTCACCTGGGCATTCCACATGGCTAAACTATTTATTATATATATTAATTCATTACTAAGAAATAAAATACAGTTTTGGTTTTTAGTGATAACTCTTTGCCGGAAGTTAAATCTAAAGCAAAGCGATGTATTGAAATGAGAAAGGATTGGCTAGACTTTAATGAATTAACCCTCAATGCCAATAAATCTAAATATGTTGCCTTCTCTTTTACAGATATAAACAGACCAGACTTTAGTTCTTTATAATTACCAAGAACAGGATTTAAGATTCATGAGGTGAATAACATTAAGTACTTGGGTATCATAGTTGGCAAACATTTTAAGTGGCGATTCACGTTAACACCTTGGTTGCTAAGGCTAGAAGACTTATTTACAAATTATATGAACTGCGAAAATTTATGAATAAAAAATTCTTGATATCTGTCTATAAAGCATTGGTTGAGTCTATTTTTCAATATGCTATAGTTATATGGGGTGGTCTGAACACTAACTTTCTTGAACCTCTAAACGTTGTTCAAACATATATTGTTATATAATGAAAATACATTAAATATTAGAATGTTATATTTCTATAGCAGATTTCTATTTATAAAAAACAAATCAATTAAACCAGAACTTATCTGTACCCTTCTATAGAAAGGACGGTAACCACAGATTTGTTGCAAGATTGGATTCAAAGTTATTTAATAATCTAGCCTTTAGCACAAAAAAGCTCTAATTACAAAATATTTGCCAGAAAGTGTAAGCCTGTTGTATATATTCCACATTACTGTATTCCGTCCCTAACGTATTTGATACCCGTTTACTATTTTTTTTCCTTTTCGATTTTTTTTTCTCTTTCTCTTTCTACGTGCACCTTTTATAATAATCACGTTTATTTTTAATTATATAAAATTCTGCAATCACCGTAATACTAGTTAGATTTTTGCACATACAGGTTATTTGTGATCTAATGATCAGTTGAGTACCTCATAATTTGTAATGCTAGTTTTTATTTACTATTGATGCTATTATTGTAACAGAAATATAAAACAACAAAACAACAAAAACAACCATAACATTCAATAGAACACTTAACGTGAATTAAATATTTAGAAATCGAATTTTAAATGGCTGTTTGACTTGCTGTTGACTGCTCAATAATAAAATGTGTTATGTATTTTCTTTCCCCTTAATCATTGGTTTTGGCCAAAAATTGAAAATTTTATACAAGCATTTCTATATCTGCAAAATTTTTCCTGTAATTTAAGAGCATCATACCTATGTACTTTTCGTATTGGTAAGATGACACGAATTTTAAACAACTCTGTATAAAATTTTTAGAATGCTTATGTCAAATTTGGCAGTCCACATGAAGAAGTTCAGGTGCAAAATTATTTACATTTATTGAAAATTTAAAAAATAAAATTTTTACTCTAAAAATTTCACAATAGAAAACAAACTGAAGATGTGTGATAAAAATAACAATATTAAAAATCGCTGTAATTTGTTTTCTACTAAAAAAATTTTTACTGCATACTGCATAACTTTTGTAAAAGAAAATGCAGTACATATTTCATATATAATATTCCACACCTAAATCTTACTGTTTATAAGAAATTTTGAGTTCTATATAGAAATTGACTGAAAGCCTTTGTTTTGGATTTGGAGTTGATTGAAAAATAATAAATAAATAAATAATAAATACAGGGTGGTCAGTAAGTAACAAAAAAAGTCTTGGAGACATCCAGATTATGTGTGGACTGTTAAATTTCTTCTAGAAAAGCAGTCCAGTAATATTCAAGTTAGGGGTGTTTATCTTTAATGATCTTCAAGAAAGTGAATGAAGAGTTTGAGATGCTCTGTGCATTTGAAAACCATCAAAATTTTAAATAATTGATTATCAAGGTGAAAATAATTTGTTTAATCGTTGGCCATTTAAATTTTTAATTTGAGTGAAAAATTTGAACTTAAACTTCTTGAAATTTCCAAATGAATCAGCATTAAAAATTGATACAACAGATTTCTGATCATATTGCGCGCAGTGGTTAACCCCTCGGTCTTTAGCTAATAGTGAGCAAGCCATATATTATAACATAAATGTTTGCGGGTGCAGCAAATATTATAAGTAAAATACAAAAAACGAGAGAAAGTAAGGAAACAAAACACATAAACACATACCTTTGCACCCTTTTAGTCGCAAATTGGAGTAAAGAAAACTTAAACTAAATAAAGAATTAAATTTTTAATGTAAGTATGGATAGGTGTGTTTTAAACATGGATGCATTGAAAATTAACAAATTTAGGTGAGACTTTTCATCACCTTGTTGCATCCTACTACAAATAGCATTACAAACCCACCTATTCATCACTTTTTACAATTCCAAATAAATAAAACACATACCTCTTCGTCTCGTATATCCTTAATAGTATATGACACGACCGTGATGCCCATGTTCACCAAGTCTGAAGATGCGACCTCAAAAACTTGTTTGCTAAACTTCTTTCGGTCTTTGTATATCTCTTCAACTGTCATAGAGCCCATCATGGCTCTTTGGTGTCCTTCCAAGGTCACCAACGCAATATGCTCAATCTCTTGTTCATTTTTGCCCAAAAATTGCTCACAAGCTGCCAAAAGCATTTCCTCATTTTGTCCTTGTATTTTAACCTAGAACAAGGAACAAGGGCTATTGTTTATTCAAATAGTCTCGTTAAATCATACCTGAGCAATTCCAGTAACAGAAATAGGCACTCCCTGGCTTGTATAAACTGTAGGGCTATCTACAATTAGGGTCATGGTGTTGAGTGATATTCTGCAAACACAAACACTACCAAAGCGGAAAAACTACTGTTATTTGTGTACCTTTGGATTTTTTGGATTCCAGGCCAAATAAAAGCCCTGCCTCCAGGCACTAAATGAGGTTTGCTGTAGCAGCATCCTGCCCAATTCAATGATGCAACTACACAAATTTCAATAGGATTGGATACTCACCTGATATAACCATTGCCTCATTTGGTCCGCACGTTACGAAGCCCCAAGTCATGTTTTATCCGAAATTCACGACTTAAAACATAAACATGAATTAATACCCGATAATAAGGAGTAAATTATGAATACAACGGAGATAAGGCGGTGTAAACAACAATACCACAGAATAGTGCAGTAATATTTGAATTTGTATTCACCACCCAAATCTTTTGCAATGGATGAAACATGAAGCACCACTGTCGCACACGTTTTGATTCTGAGAAAGAAACTAAGAAATTGGCAAAACTGTTTTTGAAAAAAAAACATGCTCTATTTGTTATGCAGTCTTTTTTCCGTCGAACTAAAACTTTAAAGTATTTTAGGATATCTTAACGGTAGATAACTAAGATGGAACGATGTAATAGTCTGAAGATACATTAACAGATGGCGCCAAGTTTCAATCCGATAACTTAGGTTTTATGAAATATATAAATTTTACTGAAAGTATTATCAACCTAGATGCTATTCCTTAAAAAATAATTTTATTGCAACTTCTGTTACTAACCTGAGTTTGTTGAGGGAACATGATGGGTAGCCTACTTTCCGTGGGGAAATCGGTCGATAATTGACCTACATTCCGTTAGTTGGCTGACGCGCGACCTGACCTACGCTAGAAGGGACCGAGGGGAGACACGGATATTTAGGCACGGTCTCCGACACGTGAAAGTTGATTGTAGTATCTCCGGCGCTAAATTGAGATGATCATCGGATTTGATTGGGATTCGATCTTTTTTACTTTTTCGGGAACCTAGATATAAAAATTACGCTCTCATGTAGTAGTTTTGGCCAGTTTGCATTTTCGTTGGAATGCGACATAACGCTAAAGCTATCGTCAATTTTATTCGATAAAGCTACTAGTGAAATGGACGCCCTGCCTATGCCGAGGAACTTATAAAGCAACTATATAAAAAAAAAATGAGAAGGTCCATCCAACATACACATGCGCGAGATTTAAAATCTTATGTTTAACGGAATGACTTTGCGCTGTTCAACAACCAACATGGCCACTGACAAATCGTCAATAAGTTTGGATGCAGCATTTTTACGGCAGTATTTTCTGAAAGTATGCCAAAAAGGGAGTTAAATATGTTAGAAAGAAAATGTCATGAAGTGCTGTTAGTGAATGAAATGTAGATACGTTTGTGGAAATAGTGATGATAGTGATCTTTTCACTTGGTCTGTGTCCTGGAGGTATATAAAATTACATTCGTGATAGTGCGCAGGAGAAAAGTCAATATTTATTTGTAATTAGAAACACTCGAGTGAGTTTAATTGCAAGAGAAAGAGCATTAAAATAAACCCATAAAATTAGTGTCAGAAAATGAACGACACAATTTGCCTATTTAACACCTGTTCGATCCGAGTTGCGCGAACGCATAGCCGTTTTCGCTAAAAAGTATGCCCATTTTTCATCAGAGCGTGAAGAGACAATGTAATATCCGACGCATTTTCTTCTATTATAATTTTCCACGTCGAAAGTCCATTATAATTATGATCGTATCTGCCAATTTACAGGTTTAATTGGTGAACGCGCTCTTTACAATAAAACAAATAAAAATTAACTTTACGGAAATGATCATTTCATTGTTAACTTTACACGTCATTAATTATCGATCACGTTGTCGAGTCTCGGTAGATTTTCAGTTGTCGGGCCAAGCCGCGAGGGATGTCGGGACCCTTCAGAATATTCTCCAAAACATATGCAGGTATTTCCGCCAAGTACTTAATAAACATAATCATCGACAGCGAAGAAAAACGAAGTCCGAACCACCTGCAACACTGCGACTACCATTTCACGGGCACGTCGAAGAAGGCTGTGAGCCGCCGGCGCGTTAACAACTTGTCGAGTCGAGAGTATCGCAGTGCGCTTTGACCGCCGCCTGAGGAACGTAATAATTATTCCGATTTAAAAGTGTGTCTCGGGGTTATCTAATCGAATTTTCGGCCGACTGTTGTCCTTCGATCGGTCCGGCGGGTTGTGGATTGGGTGATTTTTTTGTTTATTTTTTGCCCTGTCCGTTTTTTGGTGGATGGACGAAATGACACCGAAGTAGGCCGAATTTTTCGGCGATTTTGGCCCCAGACCAATTGCAAGGTAGGTTTTTCTTAAGTGCGGCGAAGCGCATTGAAAAATGCGAATGCGTGGACGATGTATTGCATTGACAATCGTGCTGAATATATAGGTCAATAAGCTAGGTAATTCGGCTTATAATTTTTTTTATATGCCTGCTGCTAATTGAATTTTTTGAAACATATTTTTTCATACGCGTAGCTGGTTTTTTGAAGAAAAAAATATATTGAAAGGCAGCGATCCAACTCCAACGAACTTGGCGTGGGAGAGAAAGGAAAAAAGCTTTTAGAAAAAAAAGCCTTTAGTTTTTTGCTGATTAATCCCGTTTACGTTTTAGGCAGTGTGTTCCATATAATGTGGGGATAGCATGGGGACATTGGAAACCATAGGAGATGCAAGGTCTGTTAAATTAGGAGAATTTTAAAGAATCTTGTGAGAAACTTAAATCTGCCTGCAAAATGGCTCCAGTGCGAATCGTTTCTGAGGAATTCGTGAAAATATAAAAAGTTTAATTTTCTATTTTTGACTGTAAAACCCAAGAGCTCGTCAAGATGATTCTCAGAGTAGTACCTTATTAGAACTCTTTTTTACGAAGGACATGATGACAGAAAATTTAAAAATTTAAAAATTTTTTAGACTCACAAAAGCAAAATTTCATTTTTTTTATAACAGTCCATGATCGTTCTCGACAGACATTCAGAAAACTGAAGTTCTTACCAAACAGTGAACTTGTATTAAATTTATTGTTTATTAAAAATTGAACAGTCAATAACGTAAAACAAACAAAGTTTCTTTATTTACTAATTACATTGGAATATCTTACGAACTTGCGAACTATATTGCAATAAATAAACAAATAATAATTCACATTTATGAAATGTAATTCAATAATTAATACATATTGTTGATAGTAGTTTTTTGCAATCTCAATTACAAAAGGTTATTATTTACTAAACATAAGTCAAATCGTCTATCCACCTGTGGAACTAATCTCGTGTGACCTCTGTTCAAAAATTACGTCGGTAAACAGAAATTTTGATGTAACATCTTTGTATTGCACCGTAACTGTCAGAAAAAGTATTTGCTAAGGACATTTATTTTTCAATGCTCACTTTGTTTATCGCAATAATTGGACTGTCAAATCTTTTAATTTGTTTGGACTCTCATAACTTTTGTTTTTATATATCTATTGAGATGATATGATCCACTATAAATCAAATTTTGCTTTTGTGACCGTAAGAATGATAACAAAAACACCGCGTGATACTTCAATTAAAGGCATTTTTTATTCTAATAAATAAAATATTCAATATGGCGGTCATAAGAAAATTTATGCCGTATTTCGAAAACAAGTGAAAAAATGTTCCTATTACCTTTTCGTATTATATTATTCTTAAAAAAAGTGTTTTAACAAATGTACTAATCCCCGAAGAAGAAGAAAACAGAAAATACAACTTATTTTCTCATAAACTTATTTAAAATATTCCTATCCCCATGTCAGCCTGCCCTTACACACACTGTAGATATTTGGCTTAATTTTCATATGTGAATTACATCTTTTTTAGTAAATGGCGCCAGACGAGGTTCGTAAAGGTCAAATGACAAAAAAATCGCGAATTTTGCAATTTACCACTATATCAAATTAAATTTTACTACATTCTCTCGGTGCGTCAGTTTATCTGTAATATTTGTTCTAAGCTTTATGAATTCAGTCTGCGTAGCAAGATGGGACCGTTTACGCACGGAAGCGTAAACATCAGCCTATATGACGCAAGATTTCTGTCCTGTCACACTCCCAAGAACAAAGACTTTTTATTTTCCCAACTATACCTAAATGTTCGAAAGATAAGAGAACGGTAAAGATTATTGACACGAGAAATGCAAGAATAATGGTTGCCACCGCAACTATCACGACACAAAGAATATATTTAATATATATATTTAATATATATATAAGATATTTTAAAAAGCTGTTCCTTGTTAAAAAGTATGAAAAAAAATCAATTTAACTGTGTCTTTGAAAACTTTGCCTTTCCGGATTTATATTAAGTTTTCATATTTTTTAACAAAGAATCGCACTCTAAAATATCTCCGTCTATTTTTTTAATACTCGGTATATATTTCAAATGGAATCTCTTGAAATGCAACCTTTTTCAAATTATTAAAATTGTATGTATACCTAACAATGATGTTAACGGTTTTTTTGTTAACAACATTGTTCATCATTCCAAGACCCTAATAATAACTAGCGTCGTATACCCTCCGATGTTATCCTAAGTAGTTGTTCCATTCGTAGTGATTTTTCTATTTTATTGAAAATTCTCTTTAGATAAGGATCTGTTTAAAGTTTAGGTTCTAAGCAAAAATTTGAAAATGTATCGCAGACGATCTGCATTTAGCTGAATTTTTAGTGGATCTGAATTTATTTGAATAAAAAAATACCGACTTATTATTGTGCAACTTTCTAAATTTAACTGATAAGTAAAAATTTTACATTACAATATTTTCTATAGTTCTAGTTTCTTTTCTATATATTTCATTATAGCTACGCTTTTGTCAATGTGCTTGTTTTTCTTGTTCATTTAAATCAATCTTACAAATGGCTCGTTGTTTGGTTAGTTTGTTCTTTACTGGAATACTGAAACAAATAATGCATAAAATAAAATTTATAATAATCTAAATTCTCAAAAAATCTTCGAGAAAAATCATCCAGGTAAAATAATTGAGAAAATATATACACAATGTCTTATTACAGTTCTCTGTTACTATTAACCAACAAACAAAACAATACCCATTACAACCAACTTGACTGCTTAGCAAAAAAGGATTTCTATTCGTCCATATTATGCTTCTATTTTATAAAATTTTTTACTAGACCAACTTCGAGGTTGAATAAGAACTGAATTTTTACAAATCAAAAGAATGTGCCTTTTTCGTTTAAATTGTTCGAACTAATGGCCACCTCAGACCAGTTAAATTATTAACAAAAAGTATCTAGAATATAACGTTGGTTTACTTCTCTAAAGTATTTGGTGGAGCAAGACAGAATCATTCAACAATATTTGTAAAAAAGCGACTATGACAATAAAGTAATTAAAATATAACCCGGTGTTTGACAAGGGGATAAAATGTCACCAAAGCTCTTCATATCTGCTGACATCACTCACATTACGCCGATTACTAGAATATAGAGACATGTTAGATGATGTAAAACTGCTTGTGATAAAATCGAATTGCAAATAATTTTTGACGAAATAAAATACATAACGAATCTAGTCCCAAAATGCTGACTGACACATACAGGTACTTTACACATAATATCACAGTAAAGGGAAGAGAGCTAACATCAACATCAACGCCAACTAATAGGATAAGAAGTCAAGATCTACATACGAAGACAAGAGTCACAGATGTCATATCTGAACCTGCACCTGCAGACTTATTGAATGGAGCCCAGAGCAGATAGTAAACGCAGACGACGACCACCAATGTGATGGCAGGGTAGCATAAGAAAGTAGTTGGTTGGCAAAAGCATTATACAGGACGTCCTATGTCGAGCAGTGGATTTTAAAAAGACTGATGATGATCCTCATTCTGTATGTCACTCTGTTTATTTCATAATATTTAATATGGGTCAATAATGTCTTAAAATAAACACCAAATTTCCCTGCACTTTACGTTTATTTAATAAATTTACGTGTCAGGCTACGATAAGACTGTCCAATGTGAAAACAAAACCATGAGTGGCGAAAACCGTCTGAATTACCGAACGCAAAAACTAATCAGCGCGCAATTTTTGTAATTACCGTGTGTTTTTTTGGTAACAATAAGCGTTGCGGCAATCTGCTGTATGCACCTCAGGGGGAAAGTATTTTTTTGTTTTCATCGGAATTTGGGTCAAAGAACCCCAGCGTGATATAGATGTTGAAATGGATTTAATGAATTTTTTTTCAATTTATCAAAAACAAATAAGTTACTTTCATTTTTTCAAAGAAATTGTCACAGGTCACTGTAATGCTATTTACAAATCTTCTGGATTTCTCCTGCGTCGGTTTTTGCTTAGTCGAAATTGCTGACGTTTCGCCAATCATCTCGTCGGCTTCTTCAGAGCTTAACCTGAAACTGACAAAGGTTCAGTTTATCAAGAACCGTCGCGGGAGGAAATCGGAAAATTTATAATTAGTAAATAAGTAACTTTTTATACAATACAATTTTACAAGAGGTGCCTATTGTTTACCTAATTTTTAATTATTTTCTATGTCTGTATAGTAAGTACCGACAATAATTATATTCAAACTGTGATGACTGATTTTGACCACATTATTTTGATAAACATCTGACGGCAGGCAGATTTCAACATTATTTATTGCTTTTATTTCATTCATTATTCATTATTATTGAATTTCAAAATCATAAAAAACAAAGAAGGAAACTGTTTTTTCTAACGCACCTTGTATTAAAAATAAAGTTTAAAAAAACACCAAATAATCTGTTCTGTTTATGTCATTTTTTTAATAAGTGTTTTTTTTGCTCTTACAGACGGACCTACCCATAAAAAGTTTTTTGTTTTGAAAATTTTGACGGCTAAAACAAAACTACATAAACACTTATACTATACTATACTGCTATAAGTCGAATATTAAAAAAAGACTAAAATTTTATTAAATTGTAGTCCATTTTCTAATACTTTTCGTGAGGGTTCCCTTTTAGGCTTTAAAATAGGGCAAATCCCGACAAAATGTCTAGTCCACATTTGACACCAGGGCTGCGTTTAATGCGATATCAACACATCTATTATGTAATGTCCTGTAAATATTTGCAAAATCCCGCTCGTTTTTTCGATGTTAATCTCTTTCGTGGCAGAAATCGGCATCACGGTATTCTAGGAAACTGCAATCGGATGTCAATAATTACGATAAAATTACTTCTATAAAATTTATTTCGCCATTATAACATACGAATCATGGCGTAATATCGTTAGTAATACAATATTTATCTTTCGCGTGCTATTTTAGATCCGCATA